TCAGCTCTTTAAATACGTCATGCCACTCTCTCAGCTTGTACATTTTCCACTGAAAAATGTGCTCTCACATGTACTGGAGTTTCACTGAATGTTATTTGTTTCTCTTCTCTCACTGCTTTTAGAATCATTTCTTTATCCTTAACCTTTAGGAGTTCAGTTAAGTGCATTAAGGTGGTCTATTTGGGGTTAAATCTGCTTGGTGTTCTGTAACCTTCTTGTACTCAAATGTTGATATCGAACGTTGCAGAATTGTTTAATATTATTTAGTATTATTTATTTAAATGTTTAACTCTTATCTCTTTCTCTACCTCCTTAAGGCCAGTAACTCTTAGATTTGCTGTTTTGAGGTTATTTTTCAGATTCTGTAGGCATACTTTATTTTTCATTCTGTCTCCTCTGACTTGGTATTTTCAAATAGTCTGACTTCAAGTTCACTAAACCTATCTTCTCCTTGAACAACTCTTTTAAGTAATTTTGATGCATTCTTCAGTATGGCAATTGCATTACATCGGAATGTTATTTTTTATTTCAATCTCATTGTTAAATTTATCTGATAGAATTTTCAATTTCTTCTTTGTGTTAGATTGCCTTTCTTTGAATTACCTCAAGCCACTATTTTCAATTTCCTGTATAAAAGGTCACATATCTCTTTTATTCCAGGACATGTCCCTGGTGCCTTATTTAGCTTGTTTCCTGAGGTCCTGTTTTCCTGGATGGTCTTGATATTTGTAAATATTCATCTGCATCTGGGCATTGAAGAGTTCAGTCTTTATTCACAGCCTGGACTTGTTTGTGCCCATTATTTTTGGGAAAACTTTCAAGCATTCAAAGAGATGAGCCCCAAACCCAATCATAGTAGCTTATGCAAGCAAAAAGAGGTGTTGCCTTGGTGGTCTTGGATTAAAATCAAGAAAAGTTATCTTGATTTGTCAAGTAGAGACTCTTGTTGTCTTCTCTTCTCTCAAACCAGCAGAGTCTCTCTTTCTGTGCTGAGGCATGTGGGGCTGGGATTGGGGTAAAATAAGCACCCTGTGGCCACCACCACTGGGACTGTACTGGTTCACACCTGAAGTAGGCACAGAACTGGGATCTCACCCAAGGCCCACTGTAACCACTACCTGGGTAACATATAAATTTGCTCAAAGCCCTAGGGCTCTATGATTAATAGGTGGCAAATCCAGCCAGGTTTGTTTCTCTACCTTCAGTGTGGCAAGTTCCCCTAGCTATGAGAGGCTCCCTAGATGCTAGCTGGGAGCCAGAGATTGAAGTATAGAATCTTTAATATTTACCTGCTCTTCTATTTTACTGTAGCTAACCTGGCACTTAGGCTAGCTTATTATTATTTTACTGCAGACAGGTGATTTTATTTAGGTAAAGAGAAGAAAAAGAGAAGAGAAAAACTTTCACAAAGAGTGTAGAAGGGGATTCCAGAGGGGAAATCCCAAAGGGGAAAGGGAGCTCCCACCATGTGGGAGGGAATTCCAGAGAGCCGGAAATTCTCTGTGGGTGGAGCAGGGGAGTTTATCCTGGGAGAAATTCCCACCTTCTCAAGTTCCTCTGGCCAATTAGTTTTGGTGTTTTTTTTCTGTTTTGTTTTGTTTTGGTTTTTGGTTTTTTTTTTTTTTTTTTTTTTTTTTTTGACACTTAGCTAACTTTTTTGTTTTTAGTAGAGAAAGGGTTTCATCGTGTTGGCCAGACTGGTAGCGAACTCTTGACCTCAGATGATCCACGCGCCTCAGCCCCCTAAAGTGCTAGGATTACAGGCATGAGCCATGGCAACTGGCCCCTTGGTTTCTGTTGACTTTATCACAAACAAGTTGACTGTAGAAGTGCAGCTTTTTTTCCAAGCTCTCTATTTTATTGGTCTATATGTATATTTTTGTACCAGAACCAAGCTATATTGGTTACTGTAGCTTGTAGTGCAGTTTGAAGTCAGGTCATGTGAAGCCTCCAGGATTACTGTTTTTGTTTAAACTTGCTGTGGCTATTTGAGCTCTTTTATTCTTCCAAATTAATTTTAGAATAGTTTACTTCTTGTAAAGCCATAAAAAATGGCATTGAAGGCTGAGCACTGTGGGACACGCATGTAATCCCAGTGCTTTTGGAGGCTGAAATAGGCGGATCATTTACGATCAGGAGTTCAAGACCAGGCCCTAACCAACATGGTGAAACCCCATCTGTACTAAAAATACAAAAATTTAACCAGGTGTAATGGTGTGTGCCTGCAGACCCAGCTACTCTAAAGGCTGAGACAGCAGAGTTGCTTGAAACTGGGAGGCAGAGGTTGCAGTGAGCAAGCCAAGATCACACCACTGCACTCAAATCTGGGTGACAGGGCAAGCGTCTATCTCAAAAAAAAAAAAAAAAAAAAAAAAAGGCATTGATAATTTCCTAGAAATAATACATAATCTGTAGGTTGCTTTGGGCAGCATGAATATTTTAATTGATTCTTCAAATTAATGAGCATGAAATACTTTTCCATTTATTTGTGTTGCATGATTTCTTCAGCAGTGCTTTGTAGTTGTTCTTGTAGAGATATTTTACCTCCTTAATATATTCCTAGGTATATTATTGTTTCTTTGTGGCTACTGTAAATAGAACTGTTCCTGATTTCGTTCTCAGCTTGAATGTTATTGGTGTATAGCAATACTACTCATTTGTGCATGTTGATCTTGTATTCAGACTTTACTGAAGTCATTTTTTAGGCTATATGTTTTGGTGAAATCTTTAAAATGTCCTAGGCAAATTATGTAATCACTGAAGATAGTCTGACTTCCTCTTGTTCTATTTGGATATCTTTTATCTATCCTGTTACACTGCTCTGGCTAGGACTTGCAGAACTATGTTAAATAGAAGTGTTTAAAATGGATATTCATGTCATTTCTAATTACTGAAATGGCTTGTCTGGGATATATACCCTGGTTCTTTGGCACGGTCGAGAAAGAATCAGGACATGGACACACACAAGGAGTGGGTTTAGGAGCAGAAAGTTTGGACAAAAAGAGAGAGAGAGAGAGAGAAAAGAAGGCTTCCTCACGCTGAGAATGCAGGTCATCTGAGAGGTTCTCACTTTGTGAAGGAATGCAATCAATTTTGTACAGAGGCTTGAGGGGGCTGTGATTAATTTGCATAGGACCCAGGGGATTGGTTTGACCAGATGTGTCATTTACACAGCCACCTTAGTCTTTATTATGCAAATAAGGTCTCCACTTTACAGCAGCCATACTTGTACACGTGGTTTTACCTGAAGACTACCATGACACCAGCACGTGATAACTGGAAGGAAGAGGGTGGGAGATGCCATATTCAATGTACCTGGCTTCCAGGTACATAATTTCTTAAACACAATTTCTTAATAACTCCTGTACTATCATGGAGAATGCATTTAGCTTTTGCCTGTTCAGTATGCTGAGAATTTGTCCTATTATTATTTTGACATGTTTCTTCAATGCCTTGTTCAGAATATTTTTATGAAGACTGAATTATCTTGGATGTCTTTTCTGCATTTATTGTGATAATCGTAATTTTTTGCTTTTATTTTTACATAGGATACACAAAACAGAAGAGCTGTGAGGCATACATAGTTCGAATACACATAAAAAGGCAAAACTGAAGATAATTAGGAAGTAAAAGCAAAATTTCTCTTTAAATTCAGCAAGTCAGCTTTGTATGCTGGAAAAAATGTCCTCTCCACATGAAGAGCCAATATTATTTCTTCACCACCGATATATTCTTTGACTTGAAGTTACAAACTCCAGGAGGAATACTTACAGATTATCATTAAGCACCTGTGATACAGCAAGCACTGTCATGTTTGCTTGCTGTATTTATATATTAAAAAAATCATCCTGACTTATGAAGCCTCCCTAGTATATACTTGAACAAACTGGCTCAACAAAAATATCATGTCAATTAAAAAAACTGAAAGCAACAATAAAGTAGTCTTATATAGGATTCTCCAAGTAAAGTTCTAACTAAAAATACAAATTAAAACACTAATTGTGAATTACATCTAAAAATTGTGTACACTACTAAATTTTATAAACTATTATAATCTCTGATGAGCACACATAATGAGTACTTCAAAAACTATGAAACAGAACAGTTATAGGAAACAACAAAAAAAATTATGGATCTAGCATGAGTACCAGGCAAGCAAAACAGAGAAATTACCAAGGGAGAGTCTGAAGCATAAGCCCTAGGATCTTACAGTCATGAATTAAATACAAAGCACAGTGTAAATCTGCTTTACACATATTGAGGTTTTTAGTTTTCTAGTAAATTAGTCACCTTATTAAAATAATTTTTTGTACTCATTTTCCTTCTGAAAATACAAATTCATACTTACACAAACATAATGTTCTTATACTTTTACTTTTAGAGCAACATAGGTATATCTTTATGTATATCAAAACCAAATCTGTGTTTGCAGGAAGAGAGGTCACATGTTCTAAGAAAAATTTATGACAAAATTTTAAAAATAAAATTTAGGACTCAGAAATACGGACTTTATTTGTACTTCTATACAATTTTATTATGATCATAAAAATGACCCTGTAGTGACAACTGTACATTTCAAAACAACTTAAAGTGTACACAGAACTGGATTGTCTGTAATAGCAAGAATGCTAGAGGTGATGAATACCTCATTTACCATGATATGATTACATATTGTATGCCTGCATCAAATAATGGCATAAATATATACACAATGTACCCACAAACATTTAAAAAATAAATTTAAATTTTAAAAAGATAATTTAATCTATGGAAACAATATTATTTAATGTATTTGCAGTTTAAGCCACTGGAAAAGATTACTAGAGATTTAAGTCCACTATGTTACCATATAATATATTGTTACCATTTTTCACCCCACACCCTTGAGTAAGGTGGAATAGGTTCAAGTTAGTGGCATAACAACATATAACTGAATTAAGACACAAGTCTTAACATGTTAAAAATAATGTTTAATTAAAAAATTAAGTTCACACATAATCTAAATTTTTAAAGTACTGCATTACATAAAAGCACAATCAACAAAATGATACAGTACTAATTTTAATTAAAATTTTAAAATTTCTCATTATAATGCAAAAGAATATCAGGCCGAACAACTACCTCAAGCAGCACTTAAGATTCTAAGTTAACCACAAAGAGCATCTCTAGATTTTCCTCATGCATCTAATAATTTTCTCACTCTTCCATAAAAAGGGTCATAGATAATGCCCACTTATAAAAAAGAATCTCTTATCTCTGATGCAGCAACAACTGATCACTTGCTTTCACATGAGAATACAACAGGAATGAAAAAAAACATAAATTTGAGAGTTAAATTACATAATTGCATTTCAAAAAATCTGTAATTTTCTTCAAGAAAAAGGATACTTTGAAAGTAATTATAAATCTCCAAACAATCTTTGTCTTTTAAAGTCATACAAAAATAACTTATCTAAAATTTTAGTTGTGGATTATTTCCTACTCAACACTCTAGTGTAATATCTGAAGTGTCAATGCTTTATGCCTTATTTCTATTATGAATTCTCTATTTACATAGACTTTAGATTAAATATTTATCAAATTTACTGCATCTGCAAAAATATAATTTAGTATGAACTCTGTTTTCCAAGCTGTAGCTTTGGGGAAAAAAAAAATTCATATTTATTACATTTGCAGGGTTTTTTCCAATATAAATTCCCTGATGCTGAACAAAGTTTGAGCAACTGCTTTAGGGTTTTCTTCTAGTACAACATGTGTACAATAAGACCTATCATAAAAGTGAAACTACTACAACCCCCTACGGTTGTAATGTTTGTCTTAAGAATACTCTTCTTCATGTTGAAGGCCTATATTTTTTGAATCTTTTGAAAGTAATTATATTTTATTGAGTATGAACTCTCTGATGTTGAATAAGATGTGAGCAGATATAAATGGCTTTTCCACATTATTTATATAGTTTTTTCTCAAGTATAAGTGCTTTCCTGTGCAATAAGGTGTCAGCATTGGTTAAAAGTTTGCCACATTCTTCACACTTGTAGGATTTTTCTCCAATATAAATTATCTTACCTACAATCAAGAGTAACAACCATTTAAAGGTTTTGTCACATTCCTCACATTTCTAGGGTTTCTCATCAGTATGGTTTACATATAGAAAAGTTTAAGGTGTAGTCAAAATCACTGTCACATCTATCAGGTTTGTAGTTTCTCTTGAGTATAATTTGAGGATTTGTTAAAGGCTCCACCACATTCTTCATGTTTGTAGGGTTTCTCTCCAGTATAAATTATCTGATGTGTAATAAGAGTTGAGAAGTTGTTAAAGGCTCTGTCACATTGTTCATATTTGTAGGGTTTCTCTCCAGTATAAATTATCTTATGTGTACTAATGTTTGAGGACTGGTTAAAAGAATTACAACATCCTTCACATTTGTAGGATTTCCCTTCAGTATGAATTATTTTATGTTTAGTAAAAACTGAGGACTGGTTAAAGGCTTTGCCACATTCTTTACATTTGTGGGGTTTCTCTCTAGTATGAATTATTTTATGTTTAGTAAGGGTTGAGAATACACTAAAGGCTTTGCCACATTCTTCACATTTGTATGGTTTATCTTCCATATGATTTCTCTTATGTTTAGTAAAAGCTGAGGACCAGCTAAAGGCCCTGCCACATTCTTCACATTTGTAGGGTTTCTTTCCAGTATGAATTATCTTATGTTCAGTAAGGGTTGAGGATTGTTTAAAAGCTTTGCCACATTCTTCACATTTATAGGGTTTTTCTCCAGTATGAATTCTTTTATGTTTAGTAAGGGTTGAGGACTGGTTAAAGGCTTTGCCACATTCATCACATTTGTAGGGTTTCTCTCCAGTATGAATTATCTTATGTTTAGTAAGGTTTGAGAACTGGTTAAAGGCTTTGCCACATTCTTCACATTTGTAGGGTTTTTCTCCAGTATGAATTATCTTATGTTTTTTAAGAATTGAAAATACTCTAAAGGCTTTGCCACATTCTTCACATTTGTAGGGTTTATCTTCCATATGAATTCTTTTATGTTTAGTAAGAATCGAGAACTGGTTAAAGGCCTTGCCACATTCTTCACATTTGTAGGGTTTTTCTTCTGTATGAATTCTTTTATGTTTAGTAAGGGTTGAGGACCGGTTAAAAGCTTTGCCACATTCTTCACATTTGTAGGGTTTCTCTCCAGTATGAATTATTTTATGTTTAGTAAGATTTGAGGACCGGTTAAAAGCTTTGCCACATTCTTCACATTTGTAGGGTTTTTCTCCAGTATGAATTATCTTATGTTTAGTAAGTGTTGAGGACCAGTTAAAGGCCTTACCACATTCTTCACATTTGTAAGAATACTCTCTAGTATGAATTTGCTTATGTTGAGTTCGTTGTGAAAGCATGCAAAATGATTTGCCATGGTTTTTACATTTGAAAGGTTTCTTTCTAGTATGTCTTATCTTTCTTCTATTTAAATTGGAAAATTTATGAAAGACTTTCACAAATTTATCACACTGAAATATTTTGCTCTCAGTAGTCATCATACATTGGTTATAACCTCCTTTGTACACCTTACATGCATCCACATGTTTACAGTCTTTTCTTAGCTGTAAACTCTCATGTCCATATTTTCCATATGTTCTCAGTATCCCTTTTTGGAAGGAATCTTTTATGCCCTCCTCTGGCCAAAGGTCTTGGGCAAAATGAGACCATATAACTGGAAAAAGTAAAAATAAGTTTCACTTACCAGACTCAGATGAATATGCTTAACAAATTTAACCCATAAAATTATACAAACTACATAAGCAAGATGGCATAACAATATCCCACAGGCCCTAATTCCTTCACAGACATATAAATGTAACAAAATCATACTGACCAAAATACATTTGTGGAAAATTTGTAAGTGAGTTAAGTGTGTGCAGTGCCCCAGGTGAGAACAATGCAGAGCCACATAGAAGGAAAAGAAAACTGTGTTATATCTACTCAAAACAACTCTTTCTGCTCTCCAATAAAACCTAGTGCCTTTAGAAGTCAATGGCCAACTCCTGCTTTCTATTTTAAAAGGCAAGAAAAATACTGGCACATGCATCTTTATTTCTAGCCTCTAGGGGTCCTTCCAGTGTGACACTGGTTTCTGTTTAGCATGTCATAAAGTGCTGAAAGAAATGGTGGTAAACTTTGGAATGACAGTTTGAGTCTGCTGAGACCAAAGGTAAACATTACAGCAGCAGAGAGAATGCAGTACCACAGACAGGGAACATATGTAGCAAGTGATTACTGACTTAAGAAAAAACACAAGGGCCGGGCGCGGTGGCTCAAGCCTGTAATCCCACCACTTTGGGAGGCCGAGGCAGGTGGATCACGAGGTCAAGAGATCGAGACCATCCTGGTCAACACGGTGAAACCCCGTCTCTACTAAAAATACAAAAAATTAGCTGGGCACGGTGGCGCGTGCCTGTAATCCCAGCTACTCAGGAGGCTGAGGCAGGAGAATTGCCTGAACCCAGGAGGCGGAGGTTGCGGTGAGCCGAGATCGCACCATTGCACTCCAGCCTGGGTAACAAGAGCGAAACTCCGTCTCAAAAAAGAAAAGAAAGAACACAAACTCCTTTAACTAAAAAGTAGACACAAAATTTCAGACAAGACGCATCCTAAGAACATGTCTGAGAGACTCCCAGAGTCCCTAGCCAAGACAATTGGTTTAAGATTATGCAGGACAAAGCTACATAATACAGATTGTAACAGGCAGCTTTTTTTAATAAGTCAAAATCTCAAAGATTACAATGTATACAAAATATTAGGGCAACATGGCCCCATCAAAAATATTGTAAAATTTTTAGAAAGCAACCACAAAAAATAAAAATTTATAAAGAAATTTAAAATAAATTGAATACTCAATGAGTGAAATAGAAACACAATTTTTGAAAATCAGATAAATGAGGATAACAAAAATATTCAAAATATCAATCCCCCCCCCCCCCCGCAGAAACTGTGGAAGCAAAAAACATAAAATCAATAACTGAAAAATCATAAAAATGAAGAAGCCAGACAAACTAGGATACACACAAAGATACTTATGACAAACACATATTTAAGCACAAACTTCAGAAGTTACAGACAAGAAGAAAACCTTGAGAACTGCAAGATAAAACAAACAAAATTTTGCCAACAAAAATTTTGCAGACCCGAAAGGAACTGTGTGATATAGTTAGAGTCCAAAACAAAATTAAAACGTGGAATGTAAAACTTATTGGGGGCCGGGTGCAATGGCTCATACCCAATGGCTCAATCCCAGCACTTTGGGAGGCTGAGGTGGGAGGATCACTTGAGGCCAGTTTGAGACCAGCATGGGCCAAATAGCAAGACCCCATCTCTATAAAAAAATAAATAAGTAAATCATCAACAAATAATAAATATTTAAAAACTTACTGGACACCATCAAGTAGATCAATATCTTTATGGAAGAAATCTTACAACACAGAAAACTACTAGTACAGAGGAGTACAGAAGATAAAAAAGGCTCAGAACTTTCCAAATTTTCATGTAATATAAGAAAAAAATATTCCCTCTCAGTAACACTTGGTTAGAAATTATTTTACTTTGGCCAGGTGCAGTGGCTCAAGCCTGTAATCCCAGCACTTTGGGAGGCTGAGGCAGGTGGATCGCGAGGTCAAGAGATCGAGACCATTCTGGTCAACATGGTGAAATCCCATCTCTACTAAAACTACAAAAATTTAGCTGGGCATGGTGGCACACGCCTGTAATCCCAGCTACTTAAGGAGGCTGAGGCAGGAGAACTGCCTGAACCCAGGAGACGGAGGTTGCGGTGAGCCGAGATCGCGCCATTGCACTCCAGCCTGGGTAACAAGAACGATACTCCATCTCAAAAAAAAAAAGAATTTGTCACCAGACGTGGTGGCTCATACCTGTAAAGCACTTTGGAAGGCCGAGTCAGGTGGATCATGAGGTCAAGAGATTGAGATCAACCTGGCCAACATGGTGAAACCCGTTCTCTACTAAAAATACAAAGATTAGCTGGGCTGGTGGTACACACCTGTAGTCCCAGCTACTCAGGAGGCTGAGGCAGGAGAACTGCTTGAACCTGGGAGGCCGAGCTTGCAGTGAGCCAAGATTGCGCCACTGCACTCCAGCCTGGTGACAGAGTAAGACTCTGTCTCAATCAAAACAATAAAATAAAAATAATTCATCTAGATAACTGCAATATTTGACTGTAACTGTGTACTCATGGAAGACAAGTATTTGAAACATTGGCATGCACTGTATGGCAGTAAAATTTCACAGAAAATGCAGTAGAATCACAAGTAGAAGATTTTAATGAAAATCTTTTTTTTTTGGAGACAGAGTATCGCTCTTGTTACCCAGGCTGGAGTGCAATGGCACGATCTCGGCTCACCACAACCTCCATCTCCTGGGTTCAGGCAATACTCCTGCCTCCGCCTCCTGAGTAGCTGGGATTACAGGCATGCGCCACCATGCCCAGCTAATTTTTTGTATTTTTAGTAGAGACGGGGTTTCACCATGTTGACCAGGATGGTCTCGATCTCTTGACCTCGTGATCCACCCACCTCGGCCTCCCAAAGTGCTGGGATTACAGGCCTGAGTGAGCCACCGTGCCCAGCCTAATGAAAATCTTTCAATAAGTAAGCATTTTCAAAAACAGATAATTTTTATATTTTAAATATATGCTATTCTTACACAAGTGAAATTGCTGCTATCCAACTTTAGAATAAAAGAATACCCTTATATTGCCAAATAGAGAAAAAATTTATATTTTGCAGAATATGTTTAGTGTCTCTGATATAAAAAACAAGTATCTGGGGGATACATTATGTTATAATTTAGCTATATGCTAAAGTAAGTGGGTGAAAATCCTATTTCTTTTTGCCTGCAGCAAATTTAAACTTGTAAGTAACTATTTCAGTAATTATGGAGTGTCTACTAATTATCTAACTTACTTCACACATAACACGTAAATAACATTTAAGTAACATTTAAATAACTAATTATCTAACTTACTTCACACATAACATGTAAATTTACATGTTATGTGTTTACATGTTATGTGTGAAGTAAGTTAGATAATTAGTCCTAAAGGTCTAGCATAGGATATGCTAGACCTAGCATATTGTCCTAGCCTATTGTCCTAAAGGTCTGAATCTAAAATTACAGACAAATTTGAAATAGAAAATAGAAAGTAAAAATGTACAGGAAGAGTGACATCAGGAAGATAGGAAAATAAAAGGTGCATTTCAAGACCAGAATGGTTTGTGAAACAAGACACCCATCTCAAAAATAAGTGCATTTTAATAGAGTTGTGAGATCCAGGGAGAAATTGTGAAACTGCTAAACCCAAGACTGAGGAGTATTTTTTTTCGGAAGGCAGGCCCTCATTTTGGTGGCAACTACAGGACTCCCGTTCTTGGCTACAGACCAGAAAATGGCCCACTACCATTTACCATCCAGTAAATAGAAAGTTACTGTTTACAGGTCACATAATCTTATACAGAGAAAAATCATAAACATTTAAACATGTCTAAGTTAATATGCAGTAAATTAACACAATATATAAGTTGTGGCTCTATACTCTTAAAATAAACTACCTGATACAATAGATTTTTTAAAAATCTAGGGACTCCATGTTTGGGTCCCCTTCCACAAACACTCCTTTCATGGAAGCTGTTTTTCACTCTCCTGGATTTCCCCTTTGGGGTCCCCTTCCACACTCTCTCGTGGAAGCCTGTCTTCCCCACCTAGACTTGCATCTCTCTCTATTCCCTTCCACTCAGTGTGGAAGCTGCTTTCCTCTCCTGGATTCCATCTTTCTCGATTCTCTCACTCAGTGTGAGAGTTAGCTGTTTCTTTCTCTCTCCTTTTCTCTCTCTCTCTAAATAAATCACTTTCTACAAACAAACAAACAAATAAAAAAATCTATTTGGTCCCACTGAGAATTCTGAACTTACTGTGTAACAATCCCAAACTTCTCCCAGCCACCGTCTGGAAGAGGTCCTGCCCTTCCAGAGGCCTGGAAGAAGACACACATTTGTAGCCATGCAGGAAGGCCTGCAGACCTTGGCCTTTACTGTGGTCCCTGAAGCAGTTTAATGACCCAATTCCAACTCCTTAAGCCACAGTTTATGGCCAGTTCTATCTACAGAGAAATCTATAGATGGGCCCAGGGAAATCCTCTCTGGTACTTTGTGAAAGCCATATTTATCTACATCCTGATACAAGGTCCACCATATGCAGATTTGACTACAGAAACCTGCCCTAGTGTCTGCCCTACAGAGCAAAGTCCTGGAGGATATTCAGTCTGTAAAAAAATGGAAATTACAAATACCCAAGCCCCCTGTAACAACCCAACTAAAGGTGGACTCTAGTGCAGACCCAGCAGCCTGTGAGCTAGCTACACCCATCTCTACTACAAACTCAGAGGGCATCCCATCACCCTGGAAACCCGACAAAAGATATTTTACCTTCTGAAACCAGTTTATAAAAATTTAGAGATGTCTGCTCCTTCAAATTTACAAACACCAATGCCAAACTATATTGTGTCAATGTCAATGCTTTTAACATAGCACTGGAAGTATGTGACAAAAGAATTACTTTAAAAAAATGTAAAAGCCCAACACTTTAGGAGGCCAAGGTGGGTGGATCACGAGGTCAAGAGATCGAGACCATCCTGGTCAACATGGTGAAACCCCGTCTCTACTAAAAATACGAAAAATTAGCTGGGCATGGTGGTGCGTGCCTGTAACCCCAGCTACTCGGGAGGCTGAGGCAGGAGAATTGCCTGAACCCAGGAGGCAGAGGCTGCGGTGAGCCGAGATCGCGCCATTGCACTCCAGCCTGGGTAACAAGAGCGAAACTCCGTCTCAAAAAAAAAAAAATGTAAAAGCCATTGAAATTTAAGACAGGTAAGCAGAAAGTTGCTGTTTCTAGATCACATAACCTTATAAAGAGAAAAATCATAAACATTTGAACCTGTCTAAATTAATACTCAGTAAATCAGCACAATATATAAGTTGTGGCTCCATACACAAACTACCTGATATAATAGATTTTTTTTTTAATTTTATTTATGATAGCATTAAAATATATGTTTCTGGGCTGGGGGTGGTAGCTGACGCCTATAATCTCAGCACTTTGGGAGGCTGAGGCAGGAGGATCACAAGGTCAAGAGATCAAGACCATCCTGGCCAACATAGTGAAACCCCGTCTCTACTGAAAATACAAAAATTAGCTGGGCGTGGTAGCGCACACCTATATTCCCAGCTACTTGGGAGGCTGAGGCAGGAGAACTGCTTGAACCTGAGAGGCAGAAGTTGCAGTGAGCCGAGATCGCACCACTGAACTCCAGCCTCAGCTTGGGCAACAGAGCAAGACTCCATCACCGAAAAAAAAAAAAAAAAGTTTAACAGAGAGTTTCTCAAAATTATGCAGGTATTTGTGTGTCCCCCAAAAGCAATAGAAAAGCAGTCAAATTACAGTCTCTTATTGTCACAAAAAGGACTTTGGTTCTCACTGTAAACTTCAAGGAAGATCACCGTAGAAAATATAAAAGGATTAGACAGAAGATACCCTACGTCAGAGCAAACTAAAAAATTCTCAGGCTTCCCAGAAAGTATTTACTTTGGAAATAGTTTCCCAAATCACATTTTAAAGACTGGCCTTGGCCGGGCGCAGTGGCTCATGCCTATAATCCCAGCACTTTGGGAGGCCAAGGTGGGTGGATCACAAGGTCAAGAGATCGAGACCATCCTGGTCAACATGGTGAAACCCCGTCTCTACTAAAAATACAAAACATTAGCTGGACATGGTGACACGTGCCTGTAATCCCAGCTACTCAGGAGGCTGAGGCAGGAGAATTACCTGAACCCTGAGGGCGGAGGTTGCGGTGAGCCGAGATTGCACCATTGCACTCCAGCCTGGGCAACAAGAACGAAACTCCGTCTCAAAAAAAAAAAAAAAAAGACTGGCCTTCTCCTTAACTTTTGGACGTGTCATCTGTTGTATTCACTATCTCACCTACCTGGGGGTTTGGCTACCATCGCATGACTCTTCAGATTCCAGGGCTCTTTTCCTTGCTCCAGCGAGGTGATCAGGTCTGGCTTAGAGACAGCAATACCTGTTTTATTAAAAATAATTAACATAAATCTTGCTTATATTCTCCAATTACCAACAAAGTAATGTGTTCAGTAAAGAGGATGTAATAGATTAGTAAATTAATCCCCAAATACTAATTTATGACAGAAATATTTAAATATTTTAAAAATATTTTAAATTTGTAGATCCTTCATTTAATACTGTCCAGTACTACTGAATCAAAAAATTGGTGGTGACAACACTATTTTATGCCAATAAATTTCTGGAATTACCACTAATCTAGAGTGAAGGATATACATCAGCCTAGGAACGTGGAAAGTTCAGGTTAAAATGAAACATCTTGAAGTTCTTTTCTACACTAACAAATCTTTGTTTTCTTAAAAACTGGCATCTGAAACTCATTTATGCAAAGCATAAATTACCAGAAAACATTCTACAAAAAGAAATGAAATCTTTAGGGCATGCTAGGAATTGTGTATTGAAGTTATCCTCACCCAAGAAGACCAGGTTTCTGTAGTTCTCTAACATCACATCTCTATATAAATTCCGCTGCGCAGTGTCCAGGCATTGCCACTCCTCCAGAGAGAATTCTATTTTCACATCCCTAAATGTCAGTGGTCCCTGAAAAACACACATACACAGACACACATATATTTACTAAGTGGCCATGGGCAGAATTTTTTATTTGACTTACAGTGAAATGAGAGAGTAATGAGAACAAGTTCTCACACACAGGAATGACTGAAATTATCCAATAAAATAATTTCCACAAATATTTTCTAGTATACTCTCTAACTCTGAGAAAAGAGAATGAAGATCCACAACACCAGTATATATATGATACTTTTCTGGATGATAAAGTATAAAATTAAGAGCATGAACACAAACATACATTTTTGAGTGTATATATTTCAGATGGAAAAGACATGAGGTTCGAAGGTATCTCTCAAACGTTAATGTGTACAATAAACTGGAGAGCTTGCTCTGCATTTATCTTTTCAGAAGATCTAGAATAAAGTCTGAGTTTCTTGATTTCTAAGAAGCTCACCAGTAATGCCAATGTTTTTTGCCCAAGAATATTTTGTCAAGCATTCAGTAAGTGGAAGGAGTGCGAGTTTTCCTAGTTTTTCTGGCCTGTAAACAAATATGAGAGCCCCCATTTTCCAAAGACTGTTATATGCAAAGAAAACCTAATAAAGAAGGGCAGCTACCAGATTAACTGTAATGGTTTATGCACATCAGCTGCATAAAGACACTTAATCATCGGCCATGTGCAGTGGCTCATGCCTGTAATCCCAGGACTTTCGGAAACCTAGCCAGGTGGATCCCCTGAGGTCAGAAGTTCCAAGACCAGCCTGGCTAACGTGGTGAAATCCCGTTTCTACAAAAAATCAGCTGGTCATGGTAGTGTGCGCCTGTAATCCCAGCTACTTGGGAGGCTGAGGTGAAGAATCGCTTGAAACCAGGAGGTGAATGTTGCCATGAGCCGAGATCACACCACTGCACTCCAGCCTGGGCAACAAGAGCAAAACTCCAACTCAAGAAAAGTGACTGTAGAGGACTATAGATACCAAATAAGCACAGACACAATTCTGCCTGCATATTTAGGGGACAGAACGTACTTTGCAGCTCAATCGTGAGTTGACTGGCAGCCTAAGAGGGAAAGTAAAGCTTGGCTGGCACCTTGTCTTGTTTATATGATACCTGGCAATTCTAGACAATGTTTGGGAAACAAAATTAAAATAAAAATTTTCTGCAACCACAGAGAAACTCCACAACAATAGAACAGAAAAACTGTTCTATTAACAATTAGAATGTGACATGCATCACAGTCAATCTGCTTAAAAGATTGCAAAGACAGAAAGTCACCATAATTAGACCACGAACAGAATCATTTACAGCCCCATGTTATACATAGTTCATCCTAAATTCATCTGGCAATTGAGGAGGCGATACATGTTAAGCTAATTTGTTATATTCAATGAAAAAATAAACTTTTCACATCTTCATGACAGAAGGCAGTTTTGAAACTTGAAGCCAGGTGCCTGCATAAGGTAGGTTCTCCCTCTCCTACAGAAATGGTTGAACATGGTGCTATCTTTTTGGCTATTTATATTTTGAAGCAATAGCTCTCTACTCTGAGCATTCGGCTGCAGCATTTCAGCTTGCTATCTCCTAGTGGCTGGTGTCTTCTCTTGACTCCTACCATCTGCCACTGATATGCCCACAGCACACAGCTCACAGCTGGCTGATCACATCTTACGTAAACAGCAACACTCCAGTGCCACATCAGAGAGTGAGGTCTGAGCTGTAGGAGGAGAGACTGCAGGCCTCCTAGGTAGGACAGTACCTTCACAATAATGGGAACAGGAGCACTGTTTCTGACTCAGTTTCTATTTATAACGGCGACATGGAAAATATAATGCTAAGTTTCCAGCCTGATAGCTCCAAGAGTTCTCACTGTGACAGGCCAACTCATTCACAGACACCATGGGATAGTAATATTGCTTCTCACACAGACATACAAAGCATTAAAGAGAAAAACAGCTCTCAGACTGAGAAAGAGTATATTGAGAGAAAAAAAGAAGTTCATCTTAAGAAAAAATTCAGATAAAAGATTGATCAAGTCAGCCAGAAAATATTTCTCTAAAACGCGTATCTCTGTAAACAGCCAAAGTGCACAGCTATCCTTAGCATGTGAAACGTGAGCATTATGAAGAAAAGTGGCATATTCTCCACAGAATTTTATAAGGTTTCTCTTCCATCTTTGCTGCTCTCTCATCTCCTAGCCATTGAATAGGGGTTCTATACTGAAATACATCTGACAGGTTCCACTGAACTTTTTGATAAAGAATTGGAATCTGACTTTATTCATACAGTAAAATATATCTGAGCTTGCAACATGGCTAACTAAAGCGGTATTATGGTTTTCAGGTGGCCACAACACCCTTATTTGTCCTGTAATAGCAGCACTCCAATTTAATAAAATGGAAAACACTAAAATCATGCTCATCTGTTATTATCCCTATTTGATAAATTAATATGCCTGTCATACTAATATCTACTGTAACAATTTGGTAGTGAATTTTATTTGGATATTAGCTACAAAAAAAGTATAAATAATTGTAATGTACTAGTCATTAGGTATGCAGAATTTTAAAAACTTGTCTGTAAACATAATTCAATTAAAACAATTTATATTTTAAAGCATAAATAACAGTCTGGGCACAGTGGCTCACACCTGTAATCCCAGCACTTTGGGAGGCCGAGGCAGGTGGGTCACATAAGGTCAGGAGTTCAAGACCAGCCTGGCCAAAAGGCAAAACCTCATCCCCACTAAAACTACAAGTATTAGCCTGGCGTGGTGGTGGGCACCTATAATCCCCACTACAATTGAGGCTGAGGCAGGAGAATCACTTGAACCCGGAAGGTGGAGGTTGCAGTGAGTTGAGATCGCACCATTGCACTCCAGCCTGCACAACAGAGCAAGAATCCACCTCAAAAGAAAAAATAAAGTACAAATAACAACATTAAAATGAGATTTAAGGGTGGCCTTAAATTCTTAATATTGTAGAAAATACTGCTTAATTTACATAAATGTGGTTTGTCTACAAACACTACACATAACTATGCTAACTTTTCTGAAGTAATACATAGCAAAATACAACTACAGACTCCATTGTTCAGTGTAGTCTTGCTTTTGCAGTGTACATACTTTAGCCTGAAAATAGTTAGATAATTACCTAGGATAATCAGTTTTCTATCAAAGAAATGACTCTTTTACACCTTATCATTCTTCATTGCTGAATTTAATCCTATCTTTGTGCTCAACTTTCATGTGCTCTTAAAATGAACTTAAACCCAAACAAGTCTGTGTCTACTTTATTTTTTCTGAAGCGGAGCCTCACTCTGTTGCTCAGGCTAGAGTGCAGTGGCACAATCTTGGCTCACTGCAACCTCTGTCTCTTGGGTTCAAGTGTTTCTCCTGCCTCAGCCTCCTGAGGCTGGATTACAGGCGTGCATCACCATGCCCAACTAATTTTTGTATTTTTAGTAGAGACAGGATTTCACCATGTTGGTCAGGCTATTATCAAACTCCTAACCTCATGGTCCCCACCCCCAGCCTCCAAAGTGTTGGGATTACAGGTATAAACCACTGTGCCCAGCCCTGCGTCTACTTTAAAATACTAAAAGTTAAAAAAAAAAAAAAAAACTTTCGCCAAAGCAAAAACGAAAGCAATGAATCCGAGATCCTAAAGACAATTTGAGTCAAATAGAGTAACAAAAGGCTTACTTAGCTGTTAATATAATTTACATACATTTCCAAAAAATGTACATTTAATTTAAATACTTTTAAGAAAAAAGATAAACAAAATATTATTTTCAGATATATAGATAATAAGAATAAAAGGTTCCTCTAAAGCTTTCCTCTTAGTTCATTACCAGTAATAGTTTCTTCAAAGGTTAATTTAATTTAAAGCTTTTGCTAATAATCTTAAAGTAGTTGTTAGCCATAATAAAGAAATAAGTGCATCCCGTGTTCTTAGTTCTTACACTTTAACCTAGATATTTGCCCTGACATGTATGGACAAGCCCAGGCAACTCTTAGGTCATAGCTTACTCCCCTTCCTTACTTGAAAATGTTATCACTTCTCTAAGCATTACTCAAGTTACCTCTTTTCCTTTGTTCTCCTTTGCCTTTACTTCTTTAGAAAATTTTGAAGTTTTTAGCCAATTGGGTCAAGCATAGAATGTGAGGTCAGTGCCGGCCAACAGAAACTGGACACAGCAGTAGGGCAATTGCATCACATTATTAAAGTTATAAACGTCCCTGTCTCCTCTGTTCAGCCAGCAAGTTACATTCTTCCTGCAGGAAGTAAAACTAGCATTGCTGAGTAATCCATTGTCTCAGTGTGGATTTCTTCCAATGTCATAAACCTGTTTCCAACAGGTAGAAGAATTAAAGCTCTTAGCCGGGCACGGTGGCTCAAGCTTGTAATCCCAGCACTTTGGGAGGCCGAGGCGGGTGGATCACGAGGTCAAGAGATCGAGACCATCCTGGTCAACACGGTGAAACCCCGTCTCTACTAAAAATACAAAATATTAGCTGGGCATGGTGGCGCGTGCCTATAATCCCAGCTACTCAGAGGAAGCTGAGGCAGGAGAATTGCTTCAATCCAGGAGGCAGAGGTTGCGGTGAGCCGAGATTGCGCCATTGCACTCCAGCCTGGGTAACAAGAGTGAAACTCCGTCTCCAAAAAAAAAAAAAAGAATTAAGGCTCTTATTTCTAATTTTATTTTCTCCTAAAACAGCCAGGTCCCTGGACATATTCTTAAACTCTTGAACATCTGATTTTCAGTAGACACTGGCTTTAGAAATCTAAGGAATAGCCGGCCGGGCGCGGTGGCTCAAGCCTGTAATCCCAGCACTTTGGGAGGACGAGGCGGGTGGATCACAAGGTCAAGAGATCGAGACCATCCTGGTCAACATGGTGAAACCCCGTCTCTACTAAAAATACAAAAAATTAAGGCTGGGCGCGGTGGCTCAAGCCTGTAATCCCAGCACTTTGGGAGGCCGAGGCGGGCGGATCACGAGGTCGAGAGATCGAGACCATCCTGGT